ATAAACAAGTTGGCAGTTTGATAGGAAATCACCGAGTGAAAATATTCCCTGTATCCCTACAATAAAATGTTTTTGAACTGAATAACATAATAAAAAATTATTATTAATTTATTTTTTTTAAAATATATTATTATTTTTTTTAAAAGTGTCTCTATTAATAATGATTTCATATATATTTTAAAGTATTTAAAAATAATAAAATAAATATAAAAAAATAAAGTTAATTTAAAAATAAGTAATCACTTTATTAAATATGAAATTCAATTAAAAATAACTTACATCAGAGAGAATAAATTGTAGTAATTTTTAATTTTATTTTTAATAATACCAATTAATATAACGGGGGCATTGGTAAAGTACACGACAAAGAATTGGCGTGCGCTGACTGATAACCTAAGAATGAATGCCCTGTGCCAACGAAAGAGTTTGAAAGAAAATGAGAAGAGAAAGGGTTTAATATCTTTGTACATTTATATTTATATGAAGAAGATTGCTTATTTTACAATATTTTTGAAGGTTACATTTCAATTCTCCGCCCATGGTCAACAAGTAGTTGATGTACCACCTCATTCACTAAATGTTCAAAAATTTCTGACTCTAAATCTTCGCCTATGCTTTCAGAATCCCCTTGCTTCTTCCACACTTGCTTTGATCCTATTACTTCGTCTCCAGCTTTTCTGCACGCTTCTTCCCATATGTCTGTATACTTCTGTCTCTGCTTCTCTTTCCTCCTCGACGTTTCGCTTTTGTCTTCGTCGTTTTCCTTTACATTCCTCTGTTCAATCATCAAGTTCGCATCAAAACGCACAAGCAAGTGTTGGCCGTTTCCCAGCTCAGGCGACAACTTTCTTCTTGGACTCATCCCCATCCCTGATGAATCTAAGTCTGGGAGGGGAAAAAAAAAGGAATCATTTTGTCAATTCCAGGTTGCAAATTTGAAACCTGGGAAACTAAAAATTAAGAAACGAACCTGATCCGGGAGCTTGGCGATCAAAATCAAGGACAGAAACTGGACTTGTTTCCTCTGAATTGCACTCTTGTTCCGTCTTCTTCGCAGTACAATTACAGCATGATTTCTTCCTCCTCCTCCTCCTCATCCGTCTCCTTCTCTCTAGCTTCCTATCATTCAGAACGTCCTCGAACATCTCTGCTTGTGAATTGAAATAATTCTTTGCAGAAGCAACCTTGAAGCTGGTCTGAGGCATCATGTTGGTAAGTTCTCGGAGCTTACCATCATTTTTCCTCAGAGATATTTCATCACACACCTTCCTGCGCTGTTTCTCCTTGCCACTCGTTGTATTCTCAGAGCCAGAGAGAAACCTTTTCCCTCCTATGTTCCTTCGATCTCGGTCTCTGCTTCAATCCCGCAGAACCCAATTTGGATTCAAATTCTTGGCCTTCGAAGCTGAGGACCAAGAAGTTGTCGTCGTTTTCCAGGAACGTAAATCCAGGGACCTCACGAAACGACAAAGTAGATTTGACCCTCCGATGAATCCCCTGCAAGCGATCGCATTCCCCGAAGCATTGAACAGAGTTCATGGATCGGCTTCGAGAAAGCGAAGCAGCAGATGATTCAGTGGGAATTTCCACCATGGACTCCAAACCCATCAACCTGGCGACAATTCCAGGAGCAGAAAGAGTAGTGGCATTGGTAGAAGTAGGAGTGACAGAACCAGGCTGAGTCTTGTGGTCAGCCTTGAATTCATGGTCTTGGTGAGTTTGAAGTACAGAATCAGCGTCTCTGATTTGATCAGAGGGGTGGGTGGGAAGACCGCGAGAACAGAGGATTCTGCGGACGATGCCGGTGAGACAACCTGCGGTGGCCTTCTTGGAGGTACACATGGTCGGGTGGAAGGTGAAAGAGGAGGAGGAAGAAGAAGTAGAGAATGAGGAAGGGGAAGGAGAGAGTGAGAGGGAAAGAGATTCATGTTGACATGGAAGAGGAAGAAAGGTGGGGAAGGGAAAAAAGGAAAAGGGCGATTGGATTCTGAAAGTCACATTGAGATTGGGAGAAAGAGAAAGCTAGAAAAGCGAGATTTGAATTTGCTATATCAGAGACAGGGAGGGGGGGGAGAGAGAGTGAGATGGCGGGATGGGATGTGGATTTGAAAGAGAGGAAAGAGAAGAGAGGAGGAACAGAATGGAAGTGTGAACAGGGGCGTAATGCTGACGCATTGGGGATGTTGAATGAGGAAGGACATACTACAGAGGGATGTCTCCACGCGCGCTGACCAGTCGTTTTACTTTATCTGAGACTGTAATTGTTGCCTTCCCAGTTTTGTTCAAACAATCAAACAGCAACAGTACCACGCTCTTGGGGCGCGTGAACCCTTCAACCTGAAACGAAAGATGAGGTGCCGCACGGCACAACACAAACAACGATGGACGATATTAATGCCGCATATTGGAACTTTTTTTTCCGCCGGGTTTTGGAAAGCTAAATGTTTTATTACAATGTTTTTATTATTTAAGATGAGAATTGAAATTAATTGAGATTAATTCATAAGTGCTCCCTCCCGTGTTTATTGCAAGAGACTTCCCATAACAAATGGATGGTTTAATTATACTCGAAAAACACTATTTTAATCCTTATATTTTATTCAAATTTTATTACAAGATTTTACATTTTTTTAATATTTCAAGTCTTTATATTTTACTCTGTCAACTCCCTATAATTTTATAAAAGCATTGGACGTGGCGTAAACAATGTTAAAATTGTTGATATATCCACTGACATCGTTAAATTTGTGTTTATGTGTTAAATGAATATTGTATTTTACTTTTTAATAAGAAAAATAAATTTTAAAAAAAAAGCTATATCAAATAGAAAAAAGGCTGACATGGAGTTAAAAAGACAGCTAACTTAAAATATCTCAAAGAATATGTAAAAATATAATTTACATTTTTTATAAATCCAGCATTATTCGGTACCAAACGTTGAAGCTTGAAGGGTAAAAAGAAAAGACCAATGGAAAAGGCCAATGGAAGAACCTAAAGCTCTCAACCTGGTGTCCTTCAACCAAGATCCGATGGTTTGGACGGGCCAGAGTAAAGTTGAACTAATAAAGAATTTAATATTTACTTTCAAATTAGTTATTTTTATGTTATAAAAATGTAAAATATTTTTAAGATATTTAAAAAATAAAAAAAGACTCAATTTTTTAAAAAATTGTGGGCCTTGAAGTTTTAAAATTAAGATTTAAATACGTTTTAAATATTTTTGCTGATATTTTATATTTTTTAAGTTGAGAGTTTTTTTAACCTCCTTGTTAGTCTTTTTTATATGATGGAACTTTTTTTAATTTATTTTTGTTTATTGAAAAATCCAACTCATCACCCATTTAACATGTTAACCAAACTTATAATTGCTAGTGGATATGTAAGCAATTTTAACATTATTTATGTCACATCAACATCACTTTGAAATTATAGAGACAACTGTTGTAAATAAAAAAAATATAAAAATTTAAAATACTAAAAAAATGCAATGACTTGTAACAAAATTCGAGTAAAGTATAGATATCAAGAGCTATGTTTTTCCATTACATTCCTTGTTTTTACATAAGCTTGGATAAAAATATAGGATATTTAATACTTCCTCCTCTCTGTATTATATTATAATTATAGCGCATTTAAAGGATGCTTGGATTTTTAACATAAGACACTTTATAAAATATTGGTTAGATTTTTTTAATATCATCCTTATTAAGTTAATTAATTATGAGAAAGAATGTAATGCAAGTTTAAACATTTTATTTAAATAATAGTAAAATTTATCCATTAGTTATATTTGATGTTGATTTGGTTGCTTAATCTTGCATTTAATTATCTATTTGATGTTTGGTCATCATTAAATATGAATTTGGGTGTTAGGACTTTTCCTTGACAAAGGAAAATCTCATTTGAATCATTAGATTGAGTAATATGAGATTATATTATTAAATTTACAATTATGATAGAAATATACCTAAGTGTCTCATAAAATCAAATTAAAGTAAGTTGAAATTGAAGTTGCCTATTTAGATAATTGTGTCAGAAATAACATAATTAATTTGAGAGGGGGCTATTTGAGGTTCGAAAGTCCCTTTTAACCACCAATACTCTAAATTAACAACATTGGCATTAAAATTAATTAATTGGATAAAAACAAGATACACGAAGCTAGCAAGGGATTAGCGATTATAAGTTTGCCTTAGACATTTATAGTTGTTGGATTGAGAATCTCATTGTATTTAATTCATTTTATTTTTCTAATTTTGGTTAATCAATCAATTCTAATTATTTTTTTTAACATGAACAAAAATAAAAATTTTATTACCTAATTATTATTGTACTTGGTTCCTTGTAAGATCGGCCTTGACATACTAATATATTATATATTGAATCATACGCTTGTGGTAAAATATTTTGTGTGCATCGATATGCTTGAGTCTTGAGTTGAGTTTAAAGCTTAATTTGGTTCAAGGAGAGAAGAAGGGATGGGGGGAGGAAAGGTGAAGGGAGAGGAAGGGAGGGGGGATCTCCTCAAATTAAGGGGGGAGGTTTGGGGGGGGGAGAGATTTTCGCTCCCCCCTCCCCCCTCCCTCCAACCAAAAAGGACATAAGAGTCTTGATTACTTTTTGCTTGTGCGTTGTACATGTTAACGTGTGCCTTTATTGAGTTGTTTGTAGACTAGTCAACTAAATTATTGGTGGTGTGGTGTGGATCACAGACAGTGGATTCATTGTGGAAGTGTGGACTCTTGTCTTAGATTTTTAGTATTCTCGAGTCTTGATTGGACTATGTTGTGTGGATTTGATTGTAGAGTGGGGTAGTGGAATGGATTGGTCTCGCGTGTGCGGTCACTAGTCCATGTCACATATTTAAAAAACAAATAAATGCGGGTTAGCAGGCTAACATATTTAACCCACACAATTTGATGATTTGGGCTAACCCAACCCTTTTTTTTTCACAAAAGGCTCATTTTATCAACTCAAATTGCAAAAAATGGTGGGCTAACGAGTTGGTTCATTGGGTTCAGCTTGTTTGCCTGACTCTAGTCATAGGTCTGACAGGCATTGCTTCTTTCAATTTCCAAATTTCTTCACAAGCTGCTTTATAAAGATAAAAAGTGGGTTCAATTATAAAAAACTTGCAAAAATATAAAGCAAAGCTATATTTTCACTCGTTGGTTTTAACGGTATTTTTGAAATTCGAGGAAGTAGATGACCTTATAAAAATAATAAAGCATCGGTCTCTTATTTTCACTGGTTTTTTTATGATAATATTTATATTATTTTAATTAATAAAATAGAGAAAACACAACTATTTAATCCCTTTATCTTTAAATATGCTCTAAGGGATGATGTTGTGGCATTAATTAAGTTAAATTATGAAATGTGTAGATAACGATGTTAAATTTTGTGTTAAGTGTTAAAATAAAATAAAAAAAGATGCAGAAATTACAAAATACAAAGTAACTATATTCGGCTAAACGAGGATAAAATAAATTTCAGCATCAAGAATAATAAAAATTAACAATCAATGAATTCAAAATTAAGGCAAAATAAAACAAAGTATTTTTGCGTGGCAAATGAAACCAAAGCAAAGGTAAAGAGATGGATTTAAAGTCTGTAAAAACAAATGAAATAAAACCTAATATCCATTTGACGTGCAATGAAACAATGTAAGTTATACATGAGAAAATTGAACAATGATAGTATTATATAATCTTTATGGGCATTTTTTGCCCCTTAAAGAGAGACTAACATCAGGGGAAGGAAAAATTACTGGCACCTACGGCAACAGAAAAAGATTATATAGAGACAAATAACAAAACACAATAAAGATGGAAGTGGATAGAGTCGGCTATTAAGGCATAGCATAATGATGTGATTCAGTTTGTGCCGAGCGATCCTGCTTTTGGAGCAGTGGGTAATGTTGGGATTGTGGGGAAGCATGATTTGGTGACTTGCAGAGGACCAACAATGCTCTCTACCACACTTCGGTGGCAATACTTCTAAGAACTTGCAAGTAGTGGGATTGGTTTAGTCACGGTGACTCTGCACTTGCACTCAAACTGTGGTGAATCACTTCCCCTTTCATATCTGAACCAAACCTTTTCTGGGTTGCCAAGATATATCAATTTCATACATCATAGCAGTTACTGGGGTAGTTTTCATGCCTTGTTTTCGTTTGACCCCTTATTTTTCTGGATCAACTTCTAAATTTTGATAAAGCCCCATAGTCCATCTGTGTTGGAGGATGACTAGAAAGAATGATGATTGGGGAAGAAGAGGGGAGTCGAGGGACATCTTGGCACACTTCTGTTTTCAGTCGAGGGGTAACTGGGTAATTTTAATAAAAAATATAGTTGCAAATGAAGTCGTTGGGCTTTCAAAGAAATATCAGAATCATCTGGGCCTTGTCTGCCAATATCTTCATTCTGGGAGAAAAATTGCTTGTTTGCAAAGCTGGGTTTATGGGCTTTTCTACTGTTCTAATGCGAGTCTGCACTGGGTGATTGACAAAGTATTGGGCTGTCTTATTAGAAAAAGTTATTGGGCTTAAGACTTGGTCCATTGGACATCATTCTACTTCACCAAATATAAAATTTTACTTCTATTTTTTTTAAGAAAAAACTACAATTATTTTTTAAATCCTTACAGGCAAAATTCTCGCATCCCGGGACTAGAGGACAAAATAAATCCTCATCTTGTCCTTTAACATGTAAATTCATATAATTATTATTTTAATGTACACCCTCCTTGTATGAAGTATCATAATACTTGTGAACATGATTTATGTCCGTTATGTTTTCCTCCGTCTTAAATCTGAACTATTTAAATTAAAATTTAACAATAAAAATTAATCTGTACTTTTAAAAATTATCAAATCTAAAATATCTAATTAAATTTAATGATTTATATTTGCAGTATTTCCTCCACGGCAGTGAATAGAAACCAACTCCAATGCCTACTTGTGTATGTAAAAAGAAAAAAGAAGTCTGGAAGAATTACACACGAGTCACACAAAACATTTAAATACTATAAAATTTATTGACAATTAAAATTTATGGTGTTTAAGTGCGTTTTAAGAGACTTCAAAGTAATTTTTTCTGGAAGTTACCTACAAGTTATAAGAGCTGGTTTCAAGACAAAGTAGGTTGAAAAGATTTTATACATCACAGCTTCATAGGAATTAAAGGAAGATGACACAAATAAGTGTATTATAGATTGGAGAGGGTGGTGGCATAGGAGAGAAAATTGCAGGGTCAAAATAGACAAAAACTGGGGAAATATTTGAACGATGGAATTGAAAGGGACCGTTAGAGATATAAATGGCATGCATATATATATATATATATATATATAAATGGCATGCACATATATATATATATATATATATATATATATATTATGGAAGCATGAGAAAAAGAGCTCTCTCGGTCCTCAACTTCTGGAGCTCTTGGGCTCTTCACTTTCCATGATTCTTTTTCCTCTCTACCGAACACGGTGGTTACTGGCCCTGTCAGCAATAAGTAACATGCGGGACTGGCAATAATGGTATAATCACTGCGTTACCGACTTAAAAGTGACATATCACATTAATGTATACGCGACCGCAAAGTCACTGCTCTCTTCTTTAACTTAAATAAGGCAGTTTAGTTCTTGGCCCAAAAAAAAAAAAAAAAAAATTGGCAGTTTAGGTTAATCTCGCAAGTCATTGCAATTTAAAAAACAAAATTGCCCTGCTTGTTAAAATTCAACACAACTTTTAATTCAAAATGTCAGCAAAATAGTCTAGTTTATTATAATATGACAAATTAATATTTAAATTTTTAAGAAAACTACTTACATATAATACTTGATAATATTTTGAATGTGATTGATTTCAATAAAAGAATCCATTTATATATGTGCAATAAAAAAATCAACATGACAATTTTCTTTTTCTTTTTTTGGTCGTGCTTTGTCTGTTTAATAGATTCATAAAAAGGACCCAAATGACGATTTTAGTTTGTACCCAGCTGTTTAGTATCTAGTTGGTCAGATTTTAGCATTGCTTTTTAAACAAGGGCTACAATTCCAGCCCAATTTATTTTTCTAATTATAATATTTGTATTACAGTTTTATTTAAAAATACTGAATTCATTTCACTTGAAACGACCCATCGTTGATGAAGCCCGTCAACAACTTAGAGACTATGAAGAATCTGCAGTGGCGATACCCGTGATGATAATTAATGAAGTTTTCAAATAATTGATGATCACCAAGGAGCGCTTGTTCAAGTGGTTAAAAATTTGAATAGCTTAATTTAAAGTTTTATGTGTTAGCCTTACATTTGGAATCGCATAGTTGAATATGCAAAGTATACTAGCCTGTGATATCTACAAAACCTTTTCAAAGAGAACCCCACCTACACAAGGATCCAAATTAGTCTGAAATGAACTAGGCAAACAATGAATCCAACATATCCAAATACTTCAAGATGCTGGTTGGGACTACAAAAAAGAATGATTCAATAAATCACTTAGGGTTTTTGAATATGTAGGAATAAATATATCTTAATAATTTTTAAGTATTAATAAAATTCAATAAATAAAATCAAGGCACTCATTGAATAAATGAATTTAACCCATTCTCCAGATTGAAATCATACATCAAGTTAGCAACAATCTAATTAATGATCAATCCAAGGGAACAATTAAAAATCTTTGCAATTTTAAGTATTACTGATATGATAAAAATGGAATCCGAGAAATAGCAGGATGGCCTTACATTATTGGGCCCATCAATCAGTGTACTGGGTACGTCCTTCAATAGGCAAGCAACTGTCTCTCTCGTATACCCCACAAATTCATGGCACTGCATGTGCTGATTATATTGAAAACTTCTTTGAACATGCATTTTATAACCGTCAGTTTAAATTATTTTAAATACTTTTGGGAGTAACAATTTAGATTGTGCAAATAAAAAGACAGAAACCCCCCCCCCCAATGAGCATTTAGACTGTCTTTCAAACTTGCCCAGCAATTATGTGTAACGTGTTTCATGGCGATGCTTGATTCAAGAATCTGTTGGTTACGACGTCACCTCAGACGGTCAGTCCTCAGTATATATGTCTCGTATTTTTATTGTACCACACCAGTGATCATGTTGCATGTGTAGTGTTTGACAATTGTATTGATTTGCTTATGATAATTTTTCTTTCTTTTTCTTTTTTTCAAAACAAAAAGTTTGCTTCTAGGAGAAATGGAGAATGATAGTTAAATTATTAAAAATAAAATAATAATATCAAAACAAAAAGTTTGCTTTTAGGAAAATGATAGTTAAGTAATAAAAAATAAAATAATAATATTTAAGTTTTCAATAATCTTTTTTAAAAAATAAGCTGCGAATATCAAATTGAATAATAATTATAAATATGACATTGAGTTATAAATGTCATTTTTTATTTACAACTAAAAATCATGTTTGCAACTGTTTGAATTGATATTTATGATTTATTTTTTAAAAATTTATGTCAAAAATTTAATTATCATTGATTTGATATTTGAAATTTTATTTTACTTTGTTGTCAATATTTTTTTTTTAAAAGATGGATCAACTATTGGTCTTTGATCTATATCATATTCATGTGTTCTCAGTTTTGAGCTTGCATTTAGTGCTTTACTAGTAGTTTAGGGCCTATTTAAGAAATTATGACTCCACTTTTTTTTGATGAAAAAAAAATAAAAAAACACTAAAAACTAAAATCTAACATCAAATATTAAACTAACAGAGATAAAATCTGGAGGAGATGTCCATTTGCTTCAAAGCCTCCTTCGCTAACGAATCTGCAACAAATTGGCTTTTCGATTACGCCAACTTAAATCAATAGTCTAGTCTTGTCATCTCATACTCTGGATCTCTAAAATGAGGCCACAATTAGGATGTTCCGATTGTTCATCATTCTACAATGTCTTGATAGTCTCCATGTAATCTGTCTTTATCACTATCCTTCTCCAACTCATGTCCCAGGCTCTTTTAAGTGCCCATGTGACATCCCATAGTTCAGCATTCAGACTGCTCCCATGGCCAATATGATAGATAAACTCACTAAGAAAATGCCTTGTGTGGTCTCTAGCAATACCCTCACATCCAGTGACAGCACCATCTTGTCCACTTGCACCATTTATATTGAATTTAACAACTTCCATTTCTTGTGCTCTCTATCGTACTCTATATCTTTCCATCTTAGTAGATAGGAGTTTAGAATTTGGCCAAGACAACAACACCTGCACTTGAGCCAAAAACATCCAAGACCCCATGCTTCTTTTGTTGAAAAACTCTTAAGTTCCTATTGATCTATAACTGTCGATAGAGAATCGCAAACCAAATATCCCATTAATAGCCCTTTAATATGAGCCCTTGAAAATATGACTCCACTTTGATTATCACAATAACCAGTATTTTTTATATGCTATTATTTTTTAGTGATTTTAATGTTAAGCTTTTTTAACAATTAAGGTGTTTCCTTGAGAAAAGTTTAAAGTATTTAATAACAAGCAACCCCAAATCTTTTCTCACTACGTGATCTAATCTAATATATATAATATAAGAGATGTGAAGGGAATATTAAGTTTTTTCTGGTTAGTGTGAGAGGAATATTTTTAAAAGAACGAGAATCAATTAGTATCATCACACCTTTGTAACTTATCAGCAATAACCAACAGAAGGTCATGTTATGTGATGAGAGACATTTTAAAAAAAGTTAAAGTGTTAAAAAAAATATTGTGTCTTCACATTTTGTTCGGATTTTATAATAAATCCTTACATTTTATTTTCAGTGTTCTAAGAAGGTGCTTTTGTTTTTTAGTATTATAAGTCACTATAACACCACTTATGAAAGGATTTAAAATATCAAAAATAAAAATGTAGTAACCTAGGATATAAAAAAAATGTGCAAGAGCTATAGCAAAATTTAAATAAAATATAAGAATTTAAAGTTATATTTTTTAATAGAAAAAAAAAAGATGGGTCCTTTGTCTTATGATGATGCCCGCTAGGATCAAGATTCAATGTGCACAGAGAAGCTAGGTTAGTGTTGTATTTATTTTTTTAATTTTTTAATAATTACGCCTTTTGTTTTCATTTTGGTTGGTGAAATAATTGGAAGAGCTTTCGGATGTTAATATTATGGAGGGTTTCTCCTTGCCAGATCATCCCCATGTGAATGCTCTGCGCAGATTAACAAGCAATATCACAGCTTCATCAGACAATCATATAATTAATTTCCCTCTTTGCGCAGGAGGACATTCATACTCTGTCTCTTCCTACCAATCCCATTCATTCATGCGAATCTCTGAATCTGCCAGTAACACTAATTAATATCATTTTACCACTCCTTCATCTGAAATCCAAAGTAACGAGTAACGACGGAGACACTAACTCAGGAGAAACATGAGAAATGAAAAACTACTAATCTAAACCACGTTTTGAAGTCCCAGAAAAATATACAAAATCATTGAGACTTGGTCCTAGATTTCTCGTAAAGAAGAGGATCCGTCTGATAGAACACGATGTCTCCAGAATCACTAACGAAGTGGTCTTGTCTTAAACTATCTATCAAATTCTGGATTAAATGGACTGGTATAGGCCCTGATTTCTCTGGTTCCCGATAATACTTCCCCAGAACTCGCCTTGCTGCTTTCGTCTGCACAAAAACAGAGCAACTTTAATCACAACCACAAAACATGAAAGCATTAGTATAGCCTAGATTTTGTTCTTCAAGCGAATTGATTCTTCCTAAAAAGCATTTACGTAATAGTAACATGTATATGAGGTTTAAGAATAGCAGGCACCGCTTCAATCAGATGATAATGAGGAATCTGAGGAAAAAGATGATGGATGACATGGGTTCCAATGTCATGATGGATGTTGTTGATCAAACCGTAGTCGCGATCCACTGTTGTTAATCCGCCTCTCAAATAGCTCCATTCCTGTCAGAAACTAGAGTGTTTAGATTCGGTTCTTTGATGAAAAGGAACAGCTTGATGTTATTAATGTACCTTGCCCCTGTACCAAGGTAGTTTCTGCTTGTATCCATGGTGGTGCAAATATGTAACAGCGTCCAACCACATGACAAAGATCTGCACACGTACGAGGTATCAGACTCAAGGATTGTAGTCTAGAGTTATTCCTAGAAGGAGGAAACATAGGCTGATAATAGTAATAACAATAATACGGAGTGGTGAAACAGGGGATGAATCGTGAAGGAATGATTTTACCGCATAAGGGACACCGTAGAGCTTTAAAATTCGAACGGGGCCCACAGTGAAGCAGAGGTAGAGAAGCAGGGAAGCCATGGCCAGCCAACATAAGGTCGAGGTTGTCACATCTTTTCTGTCTCTTGGGGAGAACAATCTACTGTAGGGATTGAAGTGAGAGCCTTCTTTTCCTGGGCTTCTCCGCCACTGAAATTTCCCAGTTCATTTATCAGAAACCCAGCTTTATGTCAGTGGTATAGTAATAATATAAATTGTCTTTCTGATAAGGTCTTGAGAACAATAAAGCAAACAAACTCTCACCAGATAAACGGGAAAGGCAAAGATGGGGAACGGCACAGTGAATCTCAGCATTTTTGTCCTGTGGCTTTGATTCTTATAAAGCTTCTCTGTCATCTGTAAAAAAGAAAAAGGTCCATCTTAATCATGAAGAAGCTATTCAAAAATGTGTGTGTGTGTGTGTGTGTTTTTTTTTTTTTTTAAGCAAGCACATACATAACATACCGGAACCCATGATTCATCATTCTCAACATGTCCATGGTTTTGATGGTGGGTTTTGTGGCTGATTCTCCTGCCACGATGATTATTCCCGTGTGAGGTTAAAAGGACGAAAGGAATGAACAAGAAAAAGTTTCGAATTGAGAAACAACCATCCATGGTACGGTACAAGAATTGCAGAATGCAAGATATGGCCTGCGAAACTGTTGAGCTTGCGACTGCTTGAAAAGCTTCCATGGCCGCTGCACAATGCAACACGAAACGTTACAATCGAACAGAGAGCAGACGCGTGGCGAGACAAGAGAGAAGGAAATAATACCAGTCATGGCCGAGAACGAAGAGAGCCCAGAACATGGTGCCCTGGAGGGGCCAATAGAGAGGCCAGAAGAACCAGGAATCGAGATGGAGGGCGAGAGCAAGCAAGGAAAAGACAACAAACACATCCCTGAGAACGTAACTGAGGGACCTCCACGGGTTCTTAACCCAGCAATGGCTGGGAATCGCGGCTCGAATCTCTGAAATGGTGAAGGGAGGGGGATCGCTGGGATCGAAGGTGGCCGCATCGTCGACGAGGTGAGACGAGGAGGAGGGTCGTTTCTTGGCGTCGCCGGAGGAGACGGCTGCGACGTCGTGAGACATCTTGAGTTCTGCTTCGGCGGCCATAGTGGGTGTGAAGGGAGTTCCTCTGGCTGTGTTCAGGGATATGGAGGAAGAAAATAAGGGTTAATGAAGAGGAACGAAGAGAGACGTGCAGATTTACTGGACGAAAGTAAAAGAAGGAGAAAACGAAGGACTTTATAGGCACAAGAACGACGGGTAGAGGCGATCCTCTTCCGTGTATTACCCGGATGTTAATGGTATTTTTTGAATTATTAAAAAAAAAAAACAACGGGTTTATGCTCATGAACTTTCTGTGAGGCACACATGGGGTCACGTATGCACTTTCTCTTCTTATTACTTAATTAACTGTTTAGTTATAATATTCGCATCAATTCCTATTTCCTAATTTCAACCTTTCCCATCTTCAATCTTTATTTCTTCTTCTTTTAATTCTTATTATTTTCTTCATGTTAGTATAGGAATTGAAACCTGGTATCAGGTCTTCAATGGCATTTAAATATACCTGTGACTTGGTGACTGGAGATGAGTCTTTTTTTTTTTTTTCTTTTTTGGAACCGTCAAGGTATTATTCTTAGATTTTGTTCGGACTCTATCGATTGTTTATTCTTTAACTAATTAAGTTTGATTCTGCTGTACTTTAGATTTGGCTGGGGCCAATTAATTGAACTTTAGAGGTGTAGAGGCAACCAGTTACAGAGTAAAGTGGAATTTTCCCCCCCTTTTTACTACAGTTGTTATAAGTGTGTTTGAATTTCAGTGGGATATAATTAATTATAAAAAAAATTTATTAACAAAATAATTAACTATAATTAATTATATTATAATGTGATAGTGTTTGGATGATATTTTTTAAAATTAATTTTGATAAAATTAAAGATGTTTGAATGATTTTAATCAAAATCAATTTTAAATATATAAATTACAATAAAAGGTATGGATTGTAGGTAAGTATTGATGAACTTGCATATAATATTATTAGAAAAAATTAACTATTCAATCTGTATATTTTTGACTCAATCGTAACACAGTCTTTAAATATTAATTTACTGTAACTAGATCTTTATAATTGATCCTTGAAGTTGACTTAATGCAACTCAATTGCTACAGTTTTAATCATTTAAAAGATACTTGTATTTTATAAAATAAAATGAGAAAGATTAAAATTATTTTAAAATTTGAAGACTAATAATATTTAAATTATTACAATTTTCAATCGATTAACATTTTAAAATAATTTTAATATTTTTTTAATTGGAAGGACATGTACTAATAGCTCGAATTACGAAACACAACTATACAAATTAAGTTAGAATGAATTAAAGTTGAATAACTGAATTATAATTACATCAAAATTATAGAGATCAAAAGATTAAGTGTCCGTTTGGATATGTCTATAATCGATTTTATTTTCAAAAAAATCGATTATTTAGTTTATTAGCCAAACATTTAAAAAAGTAAAAAATCGATTCTAACCCTTAAAATCGATTTTTTTCAAAAGCTAATATTCTAAGCTTTTCCAGAAACGCTGATAAAAAAAAAACTGGAGAAATTACATAAAAAGGTCCAAAAAAATTATAAAAAGCACAAATTTTTTTTTAAAAAAATTAAACTCCCTTCTCTTCTCTTTTTTTTTTCTTAGTAAAATTCAAATTTTAAATCTTTAAAAAGTTGTTAACATATATTAAGTTAAAATCAATTTTAAAAAAATAATATCCAAACAAATTACGTTATAACATAATCAATTATGATTAAAATCTACCACTTAATCAATTATTTTCATAATCTATTATACCCAACTGAAATCCAAACGGACCCTAATTTTTTCATATTATTAAATTTATTGTGATTTATTTAACAAAAAATATAATAGTGATACATTTGATATTTATAAAATATTTAACAATCAAATGATAAATGCTCGAGACTCTTAATAAGATGAACGCCAGGGGTATATTTTGGATGGAAGAAGATGTCTCCAACCACGTAATGCCATAAATCATGAGCTATGAAATGTCAAGGATATATTTGGTAGCTAGTTCAAAAATTCCGACAAATAAAAAATGTTTCAAGGTGCATAATTGAAATTGAAAAGTTGGATTAGCTTAAAGCATAACAGAGTTTCTGCGTGTTTGGAGTAAGAAAATAATCGATTTTTTAGTTAAAAAATCGATTAATAAAAAAAAACCCAAACATCAATTTTTTTCTGTTAATCGATTGTTAGGAGCAAAATCGATTTTTTTCCTAAGCTGTCTCTGTGAGCTATTGCGTCCGAAAGAGAAGGCAGGAGAATAAGAAAAAGCTGATTAAAAAACATGTGGCAAAATTACCAAAAAAAACTAAAAAAAATTATAAAAAATGCATAAAATTTAATAAAAATAAAATCAAACTCTCTTCTCTTCTCTTTTTTTTTTACTTAATAAAATTCAAACCAAAGTTTCAATTTAATTTAAAATTCAAACTAATTCAAATGAAATATTAATTGATAGAGAAAGATTAATTTAATTTAATTTAAAATTTAGGACCAATACAAATATTGTTACAAAGATTCACAAAAAAAGAGAGATTTTGCGTTGTTTGTTATATTGCTACATTTTTTATGTTACTAAAATTTCAAGGTAGTGTTTAACATTTTTGTTAGATATGACTCATATCTATAATGTCATTAGAGATTAACTTGTATAGTATCATTTTTATTAGTTATTGTAAAATTGATATTTAGTATTTTTGAACTAAGACATATTGAGTTTATTTACGTAAATTAAATTGTTAATATTAATATAATTTATATCTTTATAATTAATCAGATGTGTAATTTAAATAATATATTTTACTTCTTAAATAAAAATTAACAAATTTAATAATATTAGATACAAATATATTAACAATTTAATTTTAAAAAGTAATGTCTTTTATAATAATTTACAAAGTTAAAATTGATTCTATTTAAATTATTCAAACATCTTTAATTCTATTAAAATTAATTTTTAAAAATAATAGTTAAATAGATTGCATTATAATATAATTAATTATAATTAAAATTAATCATATTAATTAATTATTTTCATAATCAATTATACCCGGTTAAAGTCTAAAAAGGGCACTTTGGGCCAAAATAATCAATTATGTAAAAATAGTAGTATTTGGATAATTTTTATCAAAATGTAGTTTTCGTACCAATAATCAGTTCTAAAAACATACCCAGACAACCACTATAATTACTTATTTTCCCATTTTTACTGTGTGTGTGTTTCAATGTGATTGGTCATTAAGCCTTGTTGCTTGCATATAGCATTATGGACTCTCGGTAACTAATAATGGCAGGATTGCAGTTGCACAACTATCATCCTTGAAAAAAGTCTCAAATTTATGGAGGGCAACTGGTATAACTGATTAAACAAGTTGAATTAGCTTATCCTAAATTTGAAGTTTGAGTATTGAAATATACTCTCATATTAAATAAATATGTTAAAAATATCCCTAATATACCTGTAAGATCATCACTGATAATAATGATCTAGCATAATAGGGATTCAAATTAGTTTAGATGGAAAGTGATAACGCCTTGAGTTCCTAGAATACTAAATGATGGAATGAAAAAAATTGTCTAAAATTTTAATAATACTGGGTATTGGGTTGTTCAATATAAAAATAATTATTTCATTAAAGTATCTTACAAAGAGATACATATACATGCATACATATAATAAGTTGCTTTAAAAATATGTGAGGGGGGGGGGAGAGAACAATTTACTGTAGGGATTGAATTAACAAATTTTTTATAAAGATTTCTAAAAAAATAAATTATAATTACAATTGTCTTAATTAATAATTACAATTTATTTTTCAAGAAATTTTATTAAAAACCTTATTATCATTAAGTTAATTTTTTTTGAAACTTTACTGTCATTCTTCCTTAATTATATATTGGGCGAATGCATAAAGGCATGTTCTGGTTTGGAGGATTCTGAATGTATCTGCTATAGCATAAACACAAAACAACATTTTCACAACAATGTAAAAAAAAAATTAAAAAGATTCAAAAAAAACCCCAATACCCCATTTATTATTCATGACCATAAATTGTGCGAGAATTATAAAAGAATAGAGTAGACATGCAAAATCCACTTCAGAGATAATTAATGGGGCTTAAGCCTCCAGCTTAAGCATAATTTTGATGATAACTTCACATCATACATATGAAACAGATCTTAAAATGGAATTTAATCGTGAGCTAACAATCTCACGTCACGCTACCATATACCTTCCCATACCAACAATCCCATGTGTATTTTTGTCTGACTCCATTTTACTCAGTAATGCTTTTCCAACGCATTGTTTAAGTAAAACCATGCTGCATTTAGTTGTTTTGTCTTCCTTTCTAAAAAAAAAAAACAAAAGAAAAGCATACTGCATCAGCATTACTCATGATTTTGAATCACGCTTCATTTAAATCCAACAATCAATAAGCAAACATGCATGCATTTTATTGGAATTATATACATTACCGTCTATTTTTGAAATTTTGACGTACTTCCCTCGAATTTTGCAATAATTTTCAACACTTTCATTTTTTTTTTAACAAAAAATACCTAAAACAAATTAGTGCATGTGCACTATATGGAATAAGCAGCACTGATACTGCCAATGAGCTTGTAATCTAATAGTTTTTAATCTCTTATATAAGTGAAAAATGCTTAGAGCTACCCTTTAACTTTTTTTTAATAAAAAAAAAATAAGTAGCACTGTTCAAACATGATGGCAAAGAAAGTACTATTCAAATATGATTTATAAATAGTACTTATGAAGTAATTTACTACAATTTTACATTTCAAATATCAATGTAAAAAATATTTTATTATGATCTACTTATAAAAAAGTATTACTTTCCAATGTTGCCCTTCATTAAAATTGATATTCACAATAACGTGACATATATAGAAATTAAAACGATGCCAAGGATGAACAGTTTGTTGTAATTAAATAGGGGTAAGGTTGAAAAAAAAATCAGTACTTCTTTATCCTATACTCTCTCAAGCATTTTTAAAGGATTGAATGTTAAAAAAATATAAAATATTTTTAATCTTTCAAAGTGAAATACTAAAAAGTACTTCTATTGAATAAATAATTTTATACTTATTTTGAGGTAAAACACT